CTTCTGACAAAGGGCAAGGGTGAAAATTAATTTGGCATGGCATGCATGCAACATTTCACTGGTCTAATCTGGTGCTGCCTGAAAGTTTGTTTTGGTAGGTAGTGTGTCCTGGAATGACACAGAACTAGAACTGGCAGGATGTCAAAATACTTCCAAAACCAGCTTAACCAAATGAAATCAGCTGAGTTGTGGAGATGTGAAATGCACATTTAGAAAGACTCAGAGCTGGAATGCAGGCAAGGCTAAATACAGGAATACCAGTGTTATGTGAATACCTAACAACAGCAGGAATATTACCAATAAGGACATTTATACATAACAGAATTTTTATTTCTAAGTTAATCTGAATTGATCAACGTCTTAAAATGTTAAGTCAGGACTCCCAAATTCACTGACCTATGGGCTAAGAACTGTAAATCTTATTTCTACTGCTGGGGAAACTGAGGCAGAGAGGTTCAGTGACTTACCCAAGGCCACAGAGGGAGTCACTGTCAGAGCCAGGATTAGAGCTCAGGAGTTTCTGGCTCCCAGTTCCCAAGCTCAGACCACTAGACCATGGCCTCAGGATATTTCCAGCTGATCTTGAGTCTAAAAAAAAGTAAATTCTCAAGTATGTTACAAATATGTAACATATATATATATACATATGTATATTTATGTGTATACATATATATATATATATATATTTCTTTTTACCTGAATGTAATGGTATGAGTGAAAACACATTGCTTATAAGTCAGTGCTGAAAATCATACCAGTGTATTTTATCTGAGTTACCTTAATCATATATATATATGATAAAGCTCTGCTGAAAAAAATTATTATTTAAATTACAGCCAATAAAAATACGCATTGTATTTTTCAGGGTAAGGAAAAAATTGCCTTTCCAAACCAGCCAGCATGTCATTTATATTAATGGTGAGGCATTTATATTAATGATAAGTTGCTCTGTGTGTAAGTAAACTCCATTAAGAAAGTCAGGTCCCTTGGTGGAGCTAGATCCTTAGTAAATTTACTAGCTAAGCACTGAGCTCCATGTCAGAGTAATTACACCTTTTATCCACTGTGAGCTCTCTCTTAGCTTCTCCATATTCCTTAATTTCCCACTTCAGCTAATTTAGCAGTAAAATCACAAAGGTTTAAAAGGTTAGCTGCTTAGGAACTGGCGCATGAATGTTCTGTTAAGCTCCGTGCATTGAAATCGCATTATGTAGAAGAAGGAATTAATTAAGTAACAATTAGGTAGTGATGGATCATTGACAACATATCTACACTTGGGTGCTAAAAATTAATTTCCCCTGTAAAAACAATACATTGTGCATCTTCTCATCTATACACGAGGGTTTTACACTTGAAATATAACATGGAAAGGCCCTTCAGCAACTTATTTAAAAAATAAAAAAAGGCATATCTTCTGGCACTATTAAAACTATAAAATATTTTTAAAAATCATATAGCATAATTTTAATAATTTATTGGGAAAGTAATGAAGATAGCAAAAGGAGAAGAAATTTTTAAGGGCAGGAGATTTTAAAGTGACTGTAAGGACATTTGTTATATGAAAGCACTTAGTATGTTAAAATTGCTAACAATTGTGTAGTATTCCCTTGCTATCTTCTTTTGCAAGTTGCCATGTTGTTTCCTTGTATTGACAGTCAGCCTCTTAATACACAGATTGGCAGTTAGCCCAGACAGTCCTCAATTCTAAAAGCCTCTTAGCAGATGAAAAATCTTTGGTTCATTCACACCTTGTAGAAAGAACAACAGGGCAGAAGTGACATCCAGATCCATTTAGAGTACACTTTGAGTCTGATTTTCCTTTGCCTTGCACCTTGTGTAGTCATTTATAGCTTTGCAAAGTGAGCACAAAATGGATATAGAACACTGCTACTCATGTGAAGAGAGAATTCTGATTTGGTTGCATTATTTCCAGAGGCGATCACAAAAAGTGCCAGCCAGTTGAAAAATCTGGCTCTGCATAGAATGTGTAAACAATTTTGACACAAAATATAAAGTAAAAAGCAGCAGCCCTTTCCAAATATTTTACAGAAATTGCAGTTTTGTTTTGCAGCAACGGATATGTTCACTTGCTGTTTGCTTGGAATTTTCATAGAAAGAATACTAAATGCTTAACTCATCTACAGAAAACAAATCCTCTTTCTTCTTTTCTTTTTAAGAACCATATTTAACTATGAGTCCTAAAGTGTATTCTCTTTTAAAAGGGAGCTCATGCCATCTATAAGATCTCTACAAGCCCTAACTTCCCACATGCTGCTTCTAAACCCAGTACTTAAAAATTGCGTTTTTACAAAACCTCCTGGAATCAATGTGAAAAGCTGGTATTATCACAACAGCTGGTCTCAGACCATCAGAGTTCAACACGGTTCTGACTTTAGTATGGGTGACAAATTATTGTCAGCATTTATCAGTGATATCTCTGCTATATGTTCTACTATCAGTATGATAACTCAAGACCTACTGCCAAAAATATCTTTAGGATGCAAGCTATATCAGCAGGAAAGTGCTGCTGATATTAGATTAATGAATGTGTTTTAACAAAATTGACAGTTAAAAAAATGAAGGACCTAATCTGGCTGTTGCTGGAGATGTGGTCAAAAATTATATCTACTTCAGAACAGGTGCAGTAACTAATTCAGTATGTCTGGACATTTTTTCCCCGTATTATCTTGTGGTCATTTTTCTGGCCCTTCTCAGCCAGAAGTCCTTCCTAGTACACTTCAATACCATGGTGGCATGATAGTGCATGGCAACTCGTGTGCTGGTTAGGAGCAGAAAGAGCAGTTACTGCATTAGCAGCTGTTGATCTGAGAATATTGCCACAGTAAATAATGCCTCTTAGTGTTTCTGTTGGAATTTTTTTCTTTCTTTCAATTACAGTCATGAATTTCATGGAGTCATCTTACAACACAGTTTCTAAATCTACTACCATGGTCCAAAGGTTACTCTTCAATCAAGTAGCTAAAGAACATTTTCTTTAAAAAATCTTATTATTTTACTAATAATGTATTATGGCAAGAATTTATTTCAGGGTTTTGTATTTGTTTTTCTTCTTGTCTTTTTTTCCCGTCTTTCCCTTCTGCATTCAGAGCTTCTGTAAGCATTCTGAGTTGCTAGTCTGGCTTGACTGGAAAGTACTGCGTGTTTGTTGTGCGTCTGCATGTGTGATACCAACTGTTGAAGACTGCTTGATGTTAGATGAGGGCTTATGCTCAGAGCTGTTCTACAGTTGTCTCTCTGGCAAAATCTTTCCTTACCAATGACAATGATGTATCTGTGTGGGGACAGTCTGTTTTACAATATTACACTTGCCATGGTCTTAATTTTACTGATGGGGCATGATTATGATTTCATTTACATTAATCAAATTCATGAGTCATTCCATTCATGTCAATAGCATTAAAGAGCTATAGAGACAAGTAAGAGTTCAGAATCAGGCTTCTGCTATTTTATCTAAAAGCATATCTGAATCACTTCATTAAAGACAGAAACTGAAGGATAGATCCTCTGCTTACTTTGCATTACTCAGTCATGCCATTAGCATTAAATATCAAATAAAGAGCTAAAATGACAGCTGGCAATGTGTCACAGTACAAGGGTTTTCCGTTTACCTCAGATACAGAAAATACCCCTGAATTAACAAGATTTAAGACTATATTCCAATTATGACAAACTCATGGTATTAGATCTCCTTGCCCTTGAATGTTGGCATTAATGTTTAAAAAACTTTCTCCTTCCCTTGTTTTCTGTTTGGTTGTTTTTTTTTCCTATGCCACTCTTACATAATTTGAATGCAAAAGATTTACATAGCTTGAATGCAAAAGACCTAAAGGCAAACTATATTTAAGTAAGACCTCAGAGACGAGTTAAGTTTTATAGCCCTGTTCATAAGGAATATTATATCTGGTAAATACTGAAGCATTAAAACAGTAATCACAAGACATAAAATTTGTTTTGTAGGTATCTTATAAAGCATTACCAAATCTCCTTTTTTAAAAAAAGTGAAATAATGTCAATTTTTTAAATACAGGCATTCTAAAACAATAAACGTTTTTATACTGCTGTCTGTCTCCTGCTCAGACAGAGAAATTGTGCAGGGGATGATGGGCATTAATTTAGTCCTCAGTGATAAGTACTTTTAAGACTAAATATTCTTGAAATTTCACTTATTTAAATTACACTCAAGCTCCCTGTAAATCTAAAAAAAGATTATAAGGAGGGGAAATAATTTCAAGAGGCCTAGCAAGTTAGCAGAAAATTGCTCTATTATATCTCTTCAGATTTTTTCCATTTATTAAGTCAAAGAATTACTGGCATTTGAGAATATTTTCTAGAAATCTGTTTGATACATTATAGGCCCTAGAAACTATTACAGTCATATATACTTTCAGCTTCACCACAAGCATATGCCCCAAGATACCTAATCAAAGAGCTGAGGATTTATCAGCAAACCAGGGCCAAAGCAAGCTGGGAAAAGGGCTCTTTTGCTATATTTTCTGTAGATCTCACTGAAAACCAAAGACCTGTCTGAACAACTTGTTTTTCCAGTATAGCTTGAATTGCAAAAATATTTTCCTCGGAACTCCCAGAGAAAGCTTTAGTTTCACCCCATTAGACCACACATTGAGTTTTTCACCCAACACTAAGGCAGTAGAAGTTTGTATACGTTGAAACCATAAGATACTGTCTTCAGGCTGGATACAAATGTTAGTTAAGCCACTGGTCTTACAAGAAAACCTTGACACAATATCTACTCTTAGTAACCATGGGAATTATACATTTTCCTTTGTTATCTTTTCCAGTGTTGTACTTTGTGATAATATTACTGTGTATTTCAGCATGCACGCTTGGGCACACAGATTAATTATGAGGCAATAAACTTTACATAAAAGTGCTGAAAAACAATTAAAAATCTCACTTGTTTTTCAACAAACCAAAGTGAATAAGAAATTGAAGAAGTATAGAACAGAGAAGTCACCTACCGTGGTTGTTTTTATCCGTCCTCCTGGTTGTGTACAGGTCCAGCCTGATTTATTGATTAGCAAATCACAGCCTTCTCCTTCTAAACATGGAAGCATTTCACACCACTGTTTTGTTTTGATAATTCGTGCTATGAAACAGAAAAAGAAGAAGAAAAAACAAAACAAAAAACAATTGGCAGAAGAATTCACATTTTACTTATCTCTAAGCACTTTCTCATTTGAGTTGTCTATTTTCATAATCTGATAATTCAGCAATAGTTTATGATGTAGACAGCCCTAGGCAGTTTACAAAATTATTTACAACACCTGCTGTGCCAACAAATTTAATTTCAAACTTAAAAACCAACGAAAAAACAAAAGACAGCTTTATGATAAATCAAAATAACATAGAAAATAGCTCTTTTTCTAATTTCCTTCCAATGAAGGAAACATTGTTGGGGAGGACTAATAATTGGAGACTTACTATCCTAACTAATAATTATGGTGTCCCACAACTGTGATCCATTGTGTTAGACTCTCTACAAACCCAAGCAGATAGTCCTTATCCTGAAGTGCTTACACTGTAAATAGAGATACAGGGGAAAGAGAAAAGCTATAATAAACAAAGGGGTCAGTTTAATGACAGCTATTGAGAAACTCTGATACTTGCAATGGTAGGGGTAAAGTCAAGGGCAGAAACTGGGAACATAAGAAGGACAGGTATTGAATGAAGCAAAGGTTGAGAAACCATGGGGAAGGAGACAATAAGCTGAGGGAAAAGACAGGACCAAACAGCCTATTACTACAAAGGAAAAGAAGTCTAGTTAGGAAGGTTTCTAACAGAAAGCTGGTGTGATACATGTTTTGTGTCTACTCTCAATGCTTGTGTCTCTGGCAAGCCAGTTCTGCAAAATTTCCACAAGGTCATACACAGCATGTAGTCTTGAAACAACAGAGCCCTGACTGCAATAAAGTAAAAGCAAAGGACTTGTAAGGAGAATTTTTTCCTCAAGGTAGGGAGAGAAGTGGCTTTAATACCTGTAGACCTCTTTCTGGACTATAATACTACTTCTTTTGAGTTCACCTTTGTAGTATCTGGGTTCCTTCTCATAGAATACAAACAATATTACTAATATCTGGTATTCTGTTATTCTTCCACTCTTCACTGAAGACAATATTGTACAGTGGAGTGTTTAGCATACTTTTCATAAAAGCATGTACAGAGAGACACTCACTTGCACAGTGCCATATACTCTTGCTAAACAAGGCAAGGTCTCCCAAACGAACTTTTGCTCAAACTGTAAGGCTTTTAGTCTACAGAAAATGGTCCTATTCCTCTATGGATCATCTCAGCAATTCTTGGCTGCACTATAGGAAAGCTTCAGCACTTCAATTTATACATAAGTGTCCTTTCATTCAAGGCCAAAACTTGTCAGAGAGAAGGACACAGATCAAGCTTTTCTCTATGTTGATGTGTGACACCAATACACATAACACACCTTCAGTAATCATAAGCCCAACAAAATGAGAATGACAGGAGAAGTACTTAGTGAAATAAGAGTACAAGGAGATTATGTACCAAATAAATTTAGGGTCCAAGGACACTAAAATTAGGCATTTATCCCAGTGGCAGCTGCAGCTTCATGCTTACCTGAATGTGTGATTCAGCCTGACTTCTTCTGTCTGGAGCTACTTAAGAATACAATTCCCAATGCCAATGGATCATGGCAAGAAATTGAAGTGCAATTTAAAGTCTTTTAATAAAACCCTAAAATATTGTGACACAAAACAACTTGTGTCCTCAGTGCTGGCATAATTCTTGGTAAGCTCTAGTATAACAAAACCTGATTTCTTTCAGTGGAAGCTCAATCTGATAGTCATATTAATATTTTAATTATAAAACCTCGTTAGCACCTAAATATCTACATAGGAATTTGCACTGTTCATTAGGCAATATATAAATCAATGGTGAAATGATTCATAACTACACTTTTTTTGAAGTGACTCTGCTATGGTTTTTAGCACATAATACATAGAAATGTGGATTCTACTTGGGCACCAGAGGTACTGCTCTACTGATATCAGTTTTTGAGACTAACCCCTCCTTTGTAGCAGATAACAGCCTCATCCTTTCAGTGAAGGCCTGCATCCAATTACAGGCTTAACAGGAAAAGCTCAGTAAAATGCTAACACCAAATCTGACCTACTTGCATGCATATCTTTCTTAATTCACAAATAAAAATGGCTAGTTCTATAAATGTTTCAACAATATGAGGAATCACTGAAAGATTGAATAGTAGGCTAAACTCAGAAATATCCACTAGATTGCCTTTACTATCTCAGCTAGGAGGTTTTCTAGGAAACATGACTTGAAGTAATCTTATTAAAAAAGTATCTCTGAATTACTCTTAGTGTTTGCTTGGTTGCTATTGGTATTATCACAAATCCATGAGGTCCTTGCTCTGGGTATTGGCCATATCCACACATATTTAAAACATACCAATGGTATTTTACAAAACATAAATTCTAAAACATTTCTGTGCTGTGTATAGATCAGCTCATGCATTTAGGCTTGAGAATCAGAACTTCTTTTGTAGGAAAAAGCTAGCTAGCTCACCTGATTTAAAGATAATCAGTATCAAACCTGTGCCTCCTCAGCCCCTACACCCTCTTCCAGTCCTGCTTCCTGCCAAGATCTCTTCCCCATTACTGGTTTTCCATCCCTTTAATTCTGCTTCTCCACCCACTCATTGCTTTGCTTCAGGAGCCTCACCAACACACAGGCCCTCACACACAGTGCCACGAGGGCGGCCTGTTCTTGTCTGCAGGACTACATCTATTTTTGCATTTTCACTTTTCAGTTTGCACATTATATCACAGTATGAGAGTGAAGCTCAAATGTGTAATATAGGAAGGGAGCAAAATGTACAACAATTTTTATCAGCATAATATCAAAGCGTTTTCATCAGTAATTGAAACTGAGTTATACTAGTCAAAGCAAAGGAATATAGTGTATTTCCTGAGGCAGTGTAGTTGCCTTTTTACTGTGTATATTCACCAGGGGTGTAATTCAGCCCTCTGCAGACAAGAGAGCAAAAAGCCTATCAGCTCCTTCAAATCCATTCTGAGTGCCATTATGAAGAATTAAACTATACGATAGCTTTGCAGAGCTTCTGCAAAGAACTGAATTTCTGCTTTAGAATCTGTGCTGATACTACCTTGCATCTCCTAAGAAGGGCAGTGCCTCTTCACTCAAACTGGAGTTAACAGGCACTGACGTTGCTCAGCACATGGTAGAATTGCTTTCCCGGGTAGTGCCATTTGAACTGGAGAACAAATGGACTCCATCCAAGGGCTTTTCAGGCAAACAGTTTTGAGGCATTAGATGCAAGCAGATATGTGATCAACATCACGACAGACTACCCACCAATGCGATCTTAACTGTTTTGTAAGACAGAGAAACTTGCAATCCCATTATTTGTAGAAAAAGTCTCCATTCATGATCAGTATTCCAATTTAAGACTGCTCAACTGAGTAGTGTTTCAGAACACCACAGATTGTTTTCTGCTAAATACTGCTACTAGATAAGCTTTGTCAATAAACTTCTCACTATTATATTATAATATTAATATAATATTAATATAATAATAATATAATATTAATATACGTCATATATACACACATATATACATATACATATACTTACATATATATATATAAAACATATATTTCCTGTGGAAAATCAGGTTTATTTTCTAAAAATTCTTTTCCCAGATTCAACCCACACTCAGGGAATTATCAACCTCTGCCTCTGTAGTCAATCTTTTAACTGAAAATCATCAGCAGTTTGTGACAGCAAAAAAACTAAGTCTTTTTGAGCAACAGTAAATACAAAAAATTACAGCCATCTAAAATATGGTAAATTAAAACACTGAGACTGTTGCAGTTTGTTGTCTCTTTTTTTTTTAATGTTGGGGAATGAATTAGGGAAACAAAAGTAAAAATGTACTTTATTTTCACTGAATAAGAATATTGATTGAGACAACATTTGGATACTGACGCTTATGATTTCAGAATACATTATGCTTCTATGCACAAAAGGTGGTGTGCAAAGGGAATATAAATATTTTTAATGTATTTATATAGTATGATCAAAACCATGATGCATGAGCCTAAATAAAGTCAAAAAAATGTAGCAGAGAAGATACATTGAAGTAGGGACTAGGGAGAATTTTTCCCAAGAAAAACACATTTTGAAACATACTTCCTATATGAGAACTTATCTCAACTATACTTTTTCCTGAATGATGTTCTTTTCACATTATTTTTATTTTTTTTCCAATGGTAATTTTTAGCACTTAATGCAAGCTGTAACATGGGCATTAGAGAAAACACTTCCTCTTTGACTTTCATATATTATTTCACTGTGGTTTTCCTTTTGGAGGAAGCTGATCAGCATAGCAAATTCCCAAGTTTCAGAAAGGCCTTTGGCTTCACTGCTTCCGAAGTACATAGACAAACATATTCATCTTAGTGTATTTTGCTTGTCCTATTAACACTGAATAAGACCACATCTTTTATAATTATTCACCTTCAAATGATCCCAACTGCTTTCATAATCCCACTCATCTCCTGTCCTTTTTTAAATTTTATCTGATATTTTTCCTTTTTGCATTTTTTTCAACCCTAGGTTTTTTTTCTCTGACCATTTCCCTCCTCTGCCTGATTGAGTACGTATACACTGTCTACCTATCAAAGATGCCCAAACATCTTTCAGAACTTCCTATGTTCCTAGTTTTATCTATGACTGGTAAATGCTGTTCATTGTCCCCATTGTGCACAGAGGTTAATCATCTTGACCAAGGTCACATGAGAATTTGTTGCACAGCTGGAAACAAAACCTCTGTATTCTTAGTGATCACTAGACTGGAGACCTTTCTGTGTCTCTTCTTCTTTCAGAGAGAGAGTGTACTTTAATATGTATACATAAAAAAAATTAAACAACAATAAAAATATGCAAAGTAATATGCTTTCAAAAACATATATCAGTTAAATTGCAGCGGCAGGAAAAAGGCAATCTGAAAGACAAACTGAATCACACCACTCTAAGATACTGCAATCATGAACTGTCTTTAGAGCAGCAATTTGA